TCTCTTGGCCCGTCAGTTGCTCATCTCTAACTGATACCGTAACATGACAAGAAAAAACAGCAAAATTTGCATTGGCTGCACTGCCACACCATGTTATGGCAGTCCCATAGCTCCATTCAATAACGAATGTTGTTGAAGCGCGAACCATCAACGGTAATGGAATGCAAGGTACATTGAGTTTTGGTAAATGTTTTACTTTTCCATTTGGTACGGTATCTTGTCTGGTGTGACACAACAAGATAGGAGTGAATGGTTGCAGCACACTCCCTCCCCTCCTCCCTCCTTTGGGAATGTCCAGTGTGGGGGAGTGATCGGAAACACCAAATCCAATGCCGTACCCATCCTTGCTACCAACAGGTAGTTTCACTCAACCAATCTTACCATAGTCAGTCGAATCAGTGTACGACTTTAAGCGGCTTTGAAGTCAGACTTTTTTTCACTATATTCAGGTCGTAAACAAAATAGCCAATGATACCTACATATCAACAAACACGTTACATAGTTGGGGTTTTCCACATCTCAGCTACAGTCCCCATATCCCCCTTCTCTAAGAAGGTGGCTCTTTGGCCAGCGTACCTTCGTAAGTACATACACACGGGTCTTGGTCCCCTGTGCCCCCTGGGAAACGGCTCTCAGGCCATCTTGAGGGGGACCCTTGGTTCCCTTACCCCCTTGGGGGCGACTCTCAGGCCAAATTGGGGACCATCTGTCCCCTTCCCCCCTTGGGGGCGGCTCTCAGGCCAACGTGGGGGCCCTCGGTCCCCTTCCCTCCCTGGGGGCGGCTCTCAGGCCAACGTGGGGGCCCTCGGTCCCCTTCCCCCCCTGGGGGCGGCTCTCAGGCCAACGTGGGGACCCTCGGTCCCCTTCCCCCCCTGGGGGCGGCTCTCACGCCAACGTGGGGACCCTCGGTCCCCTTCCCCCCTGGGGGCGGCTCTCAGGCCAACGTGGGGACCCTCGGTCCCCTTCCCCCCCTGGGGGCGGCTCTCAGGCCAACGTGGGGACCCTCGGTCCCCTTCCCCCCCTGGGGGCGGCTCTCAGGCCAACGTGGGGACCCTCGGTCCCCTTCCCCCCCTGGGGGCGGCTCTCGGTCCCCTCGTTTCGATGTGCGTGCAGTTGATCCTGTCGTCGTTGCAATTTTTCCGCGCGAGTAGTAGAGTCCGACTTTAAGCGGCTTTCCATCTTGTGCCTGTTTTTCTGTCATGAGGGAGTATCGATATTGATGGGCAATAAGAGAAGAAATTAGAACTGGAAAGGAGAATAAGAAAAGGAAAAGAACTTGAAACAATTTCTATATGCAGCTAAACAATTGGTGAGGTGCCATGGGGTGCTGTACTGGTGTACTGCCCAGTCAAACGCCTTAGGCGCGACAGTAGCAGTTGCTTGACTGCCGCGCCACTGGCCATTTCGTCCGTGGCGATTTCGCCACAGACGCGCGCCACTGGCGCAAGTGGCGACTTCGCCACACACGCGCGCAAGTGGCGATTTCGCCACACACTCGCGCCAATGGCGCACATGGCGATTTCGCCAGACATGCGCGTCACTGGCGCACGTGGCGATTTCGCCAGACACGCGCGCCACTGGCGCAAGTGTCGAGCTCACGCCACTGGCGCACGTGGCCATTTCGTCACTGATGCGCCAGTGGCCGTTGCTTCATGCGCGCAGCTCTTTCTCGGTTGCGCGCATGCCAAATGCATCGCGGGCGCGATGCTGTACCCTCCGCAGTTAACGCGAGTAGCAGCTACTAAATAAATAACGTTGCTGCTGCGGCACATGTCTTAGCGTTGACTCCGTGCTATAAGAGAGTGAGAAATAGGAACTAGTGAGAACGGAAGTAGTTGGACGAGAATGAAGCGGAACTGTAAAGTTCCGAAATGAAGACGTGGGTGGAGGCCAAATGGCCTCCAACCCTCGTTATGTACTTGGGAATATGCATTTGCAGCTGCCTTGCTTCACTACAGTCAGCTGCGCTTTCAAAATATACATATTGAGAAAGTGTTTAACACTTTCAAAAAATTTCATATAGTTATGACTTCCCTGGGTTCTCCCTTGTGCCAACCCCGCCACTCCCCCCTCTCTGTTTCACATCTATTACCGCACACACCTGAGATCCGGGCATTCAAATCATTTATGGCTCAGGCCAAGTTGAGTGCGCATATGTTTGCCTTTGCGTCCAGCAGGCAGGTAGAACGGAATGGGTAGCTATAGAGTAAATATAATGCTAAATACACATGCGTCCTAGACGGCTGTAAGGGCACCAATTGGAACGAGCGGCTTTCAAGCGCTCCAGCTGGTGCGAGTAAAGAAACATGGGTGCAAGCCAGCCGCGACTGGCGCGCGTGGTTGGCGAGAAACAGAGCTCATGGGGTGGTTGGGTTGGCGGGCTTATTCGACGTTGAACTTGATGAGCGGCGGCCCCACGGGGATGACTTGCTTCTTGATGAGCGAGTTGAACAGGCATGCGAACGAGTAGTACCACGCTGCAGTGGGGGAAGAGGGGGGGGAGAGTAGGGGTGGATGAGACACCGCGAGAGGTGGATGCGCAAGAGGCGGACAGAGGGAAGCATGGGAGAGGAGAGGGACAGAATTAAGAAAACGGAGTGCGGAGAGAGGGGAGCGCAGGGCGGGTGGAGTGCATACCAGCGATGGCGGTGAAGAGGCCGAAGTAGCCGCCCGCCATGGTCCAGGACGCCGTGAGGCCGGCGGGCTGCCCCTTGAGGTGGCCGACGAAGAGGCAGAGCAGCGTGAGCTCGAGCAGGAAGAAGACCACCACCTCCACGACGCACATCATGAGCGACGCCGCCAGCACGTACGTGTTGAACAGGAAGAACGCCAGCAGGAACCACCCCACCGCGTCCACCACCTCCGGCATTGTCTCCTTCGGCAGCTGCACGCGCCAATGGGGTAGGGGGGGGGGGGGGGGGGGGAGAGGGGGGAAGAAGGAGCGGACGCAGCGAGCAGGGCGTGAAGCGGGGAAGAGGGAGTTGGGGGGAGACGAGATGGGAAGGGTGGGTGGATGAGCGCGTGGGCCGTGCCGCCGGGGCTCATCCTATTCAAGTCTGTGCTTGCTTGCGGCGCGGACAATTGTGTCAGTGCTGCCGAAGATCATCATTCTTTGTTTTGTTTGTTTTGTTGTGTCGCGTAAAAGTTTGATCAGGTCAGGAGCGCTCCACGGCGCGTTTCGGAAAAGCTCGCAACAGGGAGCGATGGTGGCGAGGGGTTTCGAGACGGAAGGCCACGCGGGACTGCCGCGGATAGGCATGGCGGCACTCACGAGTTTGGAGATTTCGAGGATCTTGAAGGCGGCGAGCGACATCCAGAAGCAGCCGTACGTGGAGAAGGCGGTGGCCGTAAACGTGCAGTTGCGCTTGAACTGCCACATCCCGGCTAACAGCTGCCCCAGCCCGCCGTAGAAGAGCCCCGCCCCGATCCAGATGAAGTCGGGCGCCCAGCCTGCAGCGGCGCGGGGGGAAAGAGACGGAGGAGAGGAGCGGGTGAGCTTTGGAGCGAGCAAGGCAAGACAGCGGTCGCAGGCAAGCGAATGGAGAGACGGGACACCAAGCCACCCCAACGGGCCAGGGGAAGGAAGCGGTGGCTTTCAAGGGAATGGCAGCGGAAGTGAGCAGGCGTGAGCGACGGAATGGTTACGCAGGGAAGGGCGAGAGGGAAAGGAGTGGGACGAACCGGCGTTGAATGCGGACATGATGTAGGTCGTGCACGCGAACGCCGCCAGTCCCAGCGGCCGCCCGTCGGCTGTGGGTTTCCATTGGCTGGCGATGCGGATCTCGTCGGGCGCACCGTCTTCCAGACCCATGGTGCTATGAAGTATAGTCTATAGAAGTGATGGATTTGTTGGTGAGAAAATCGACAGTCGAAACTTGGTCGTGCTGGGCAAAGGACTGACAGTGATGGATAGGTCTGTGACTTGTGTTGGGAGGTGAGTGCAAGGATAAACGGATTGATAGCCTGTCGAATTTACTAGCGTAACTTGGAGTTGGAGAGAGGAACAAATGAGGCAGGGAGATAAAGGCGAAGACGGTCGCGCTGGGCTTCCCCCTCAACAACTCTCCGCCAAATCACAAGAAACGGAGCGTTCAGGGTTACGCAGTAATCCGGTCTGGGCCGAGCCACGACGCACTGCTCAGCCAATCAGCTGGGCGGGAGGGCACGCGGTTCGTGCTTTTGCTTGAACACCAGACCCAACAACTGTTTCTCCAACGTGAGATGTTGCACGCGCGAATCCCGTGACAGCGCACGCAAAAGGTTGCCACGTGAGAGTCCAGCTAGGCTTGACAGCGCAACAATGGCAGCTGATGGTTTGATATATTGAAGATGCGCTGATGTGATTGGGTTGACTTATTTGACACATGAAACCCGCAACGGGAGGTAGGTGAACAACTTGGAGCCTCAAAGGGGGGTCAAGCAGACAGGAGCACGTGGACCCTGACACCTGTACTGTATGCGACGGCGCGTCTACGAAAAGCAGTGCCCCCACAGGCACAGGTGTACCATGAAACGTTGCGTTGGCACGAGAGATGGAGCATCTGTTGCTGACGCGATGAGCCCACCAAGCTACCGAGCCTTGCTGCTCTGGTCCGAACCCACAGATCTCGGGACCAAACGTGTCAGGTTCGGTTCGGTTACGCGCCATAACTGCACATGTAGAGAGTCAGGGGAGCGCGAAGCGAAAGGTGCGGAGCTCGCGGAAGCAGCGGAAGCGGTGTGATGCAGCGAGGTGAGAGAGATGAAGAGGGGGAGGGGCTGTGCATGTGGCTCATTCAACTGTCAAAGCTACTCACGCATTTTCCGTCTTCGACTTTTCACCATTCTTTGCTCCTTGCGTCCCTCTGTCACTCGCTCCTAACACGTACAATCTCAGCTCAGACTCGCTCCCCCCCCACAGTGATCAAATTCGTAGTTCCGCAACTCAGACGTTGCAAGCTCAGCAGGTCAAACACGTCACACCCAGTCCTTAATCACAAAGTGCATACACACAGCACGCAATGGCAGAGTCGTGTGGGTACAGAGCGCTCATCGAACCGGAGAAGATCGCCAACCCGGCTCCACTGGGCCTCGCGTCCTTCGCGCTGACAACCTTCGTTCTATCGGCGCACAACGCAGGTACGCAACCCCGCCGCCAGGATGCATGCCAGTGCATCTCGTTTTCATCTGCGACTTGCCACGCAGCAACTGACCGTAAACACCCACGCTGTCGCCCCCACCCGCGCTAACCCTCGCTTTTCCTGTTCCGCTACCCGGCGGTGCGCGGCAGGGTGGGCGCCGAACCACATATGGATGGGGCTGGCGCTGTTCTACGGCGGCGTGGGGCAGATCCTGGCGGGCATGTGGGAGTTCAAGCACGACAACGTCTTCGCGTGCACGGCCTTCACGTCCTTCGGCTGCTTCTGGATGGGCCTCGCCACCTTCATCCTCCTCGAACTCCTCGGCTGGGTCAGTCCGCGCCTCCCTCCCACTCCCTTAAATCCCACCGCTTCGATTTCCTTCATTTCAAATTCCACTGCCTCACCGCACGGGCCCTGCCCTCGATCTGCGCTTCGCCCATGCGCCACCCGTCCTGCGCGCCTTGCAAGTCGCCTTCGTCAACTCTCGCCGCTTCCCCCCCAACGCCTCCCGCCTCCCGCACCTCCCCCGCTCCCGCGCAGGTGCCCAAGGAGGTGGTAGCGAGCGCGCTGGGGTGGTACCTGTCGGGGTTCATGATATTCAACACGTACATGTTCCTCGCCACGCTGCTCATGCCCAAGACCGTCTGCATCACCTTCTTCTTTCTCGAGATCACCTTCGTGCTGCTCGTCATCGCCAACTTCACGCCCTCCAATAAGAACTGGAACAAGGCCGGCGGCTATGTCGGCGTCGTCACCGCCATCTCAGGTTAGCGTTCTTTCCGTGAATTTTATTATTGTGGAAAGATATAGGAACGGAAACGGTGCGAGCATGCGCGTGGGGTTGCTGCGTGATGAGCCGCGCTGCGCCGCGCAGTAGTGGATATTAAGGGTGATGACACGGTGGTGGTGCGGAGTGCTGTGAATCATGTGGGACTAAGAGAGGGCAAGGTCAGAGGGAAAGAAGAAGTGGGCAAACTCAAACTCTCGCGTGCTATGCGTGCGATGGGGTACGGCGATTCGGTTTCTTTTGCATTTTAGGACCCACCGCAACTGCTAATCAGCGCATGGAAACATACTGAACCGAACTCACGAGCTTCCTTACGGCAGCTTGTGAAGGGACTCCCGCGTTGAGCGTGACCCCGCTCAAACAGTGGCACATGGAACTCAATTCTCCCCCGTGTGCGTGGCATGTGACGTGTGTGTGTGGTCGCAGCGGGCGTGACGTCCATGATCGCGCTGATCAACACGGTGGCCAAGCGCAAAGTCATCGACACCGGCCGCCCCTTCGTTGACTTCGGCCAAGAAATCTAATCCGCCGCGCTGCTGCCCCGCCCGCCCGCCCGCCCTGCTCCGCTTGCGCTGCACACACACCTGGAATCGACATGCGCGGGGGAGCCGTGTGCTCCGACAACGATACAATGCCATAATGCCCATGTATGCACCCGGGCCATTGCCCGCCCGCCATAGACTGCTTGCTGCTGGCGCTTCTATGAGGAGCCCCTGCAAGCACCCTCCCTCTCCCTTGTCTGCTAGTTTTTCTAGGTCCGCGCGATTGCAGCTCTGCCAGCCGAGTTTAGCCCATTCGAAGGCTGAACTGGCAGAGGTGCGTCCTTTGTTATTTAATATATATCAGACCAATGCTATTTTTCAAGCTCACGGTGTTGTCAGTGCAGCTGGAATAGCTGGAGACGTGGTGGCATGTTTAACTCATTCAGACACGGCAGCCAGGTGGGGCAACAGGGGTGTTGGTAGCAGACAGAACAACTGACCACGGAGTGTGTTCATGACTAGCACATCAGAGTGGGTATATATGGGCACGACAGCAAACCGTATCATTGCACCTGGTACCGGTACCGGTATTCTTCCTTCCACCATCTCCTTGCACTGTTGCTGTTGCTACCGAAGACCACGCTCGCACTAGCCCCATTCTGTGACTTGAGACGGCGTCACACACCCTCCACCTGGCACCGCCTACATGGGCGCGGGAGCGCGTGCCCTGCCCAGTAAACCATGGCTTCCTTCCAGGCTTCCACTGTGACTGGTCTAAAGCGGATGTGCTAACATATAGCCCATCCACCGTTACGGTACATCAACCCAACTGCCACACCATCTCTGTTTGCCAACTATGCTACTAGCAGAACTGATTTAGTTGGAAAGAGTAAGAACAAGCTACCTTTCTTCCTTCCAACAACTGAGGTTTATAGAGAATGCCGCCTTGTACGGTACTGTTGGTACACATTCACATTCACCACCCTAAACCAGTCCAAGGCAATCAGCCACCACCTGCACTTGTCAACACCCGAACCCGCCCGGCGCCTACACGGGCGGTGGAAAAGCGCCGTGCCAAACGCCGGCACGTGCCTTGGCTTGCAGGCGCACAGAACGCCGCTGTGCCGCGAGGCTGTGAGCGCGGTGCACACGTGCATCGGAGGGCGGCACGCCCAGGTCGAGCAGCGCAGAGGCAAAGACACAGAGGGTGTCCGGATCCACGTCCCTCATGGCCGCCACGTAGCGCTCGAATATGAGAGATGCACATGATGGGTCGCCACTCTGCGGAGGGCGATGGGTGAGGGAGAGGTGGGGAGAGAGGAGCACTGGGGAGAGGTGGAGGGGAACGGTGAGGGAGTGCGGGTCCACGTCCCTCATGGCGGCCACGTAGTGGTCGAATATGAGCGACGCGCACGATGGGTCGCCACTCTGCGGGCAATGGGTGGGGGAGAAGTACACAGAGGGCGTCCTGGTCCACGTCCCTCATGGCGGCCGTGTAGTGCGGTCGAATATGAGCGACGCACATGATGGGTCGCCACTCTGAGGGCAATGGGTGGGGGGAGAGGTGGGGGGAGTGTGGGGAGAGGTGAGGGGAGAGGGACACCAGGGGAGAGGCGGAGGGGAACGGTGAGCGCGTCTGGAATCCACGTCCCTCATGGCGGCCGTGTAGCGCTCGAATATGATTGATGCACATTATGGGTCGCCACTCTGCGGAGGGCAATGGGTGGGGGGGAGGTGAGGGAAGAGGGAGAGAGTGGTGGGTGGGAGCAAGTGGGGGGTGGGAGAAATAAACCAGAGGCGCCTACCCCTCACAGCCCCTTAGAGGAGAGGCGCCTACCCCTCACAGCCCCTTAGAGGAGAGGCGCCTACCCCAAAAAGCAAGCAGGGAGTAGAGCAGCACCTTGCGGGCGAAGATGGAGGCGAGCTTGAGCAGGCGAGCGCCCGTGGTGGGATTGAGGAAGTAGCCCGCTTTGAAGAACTCCTCCTGGTGGGGGAGGAAGTGGGGTGGAGGGGAGGTTATGTGAGCACATGTGCGAGGAGGAAAGGACATCAGCAGATGAACGCAAGTGTGAAGGGTTTGAGGTGAAAGGCATGGCGGCAGGTGGTACAGTGTGCAATGGTGATAGCAACAACAACAGCAGCGCAGTGGAAATGGCAAGCAGACCGCCCTCCCAGCAGCACACCCTCCCCTCAGCACACTGCCCTGCCATGAGCACGCCCCCTGACCATGTATTGGCGTGCCATGGCGGTGCTGTCTCGCGTGGCCTGCGCCATTGCTGCCTCCGCCACGTGCTGCCCGCCCATTGGCCCAGCGAGGCACAGGATATGGGGGGCAAGGGGAAAGATGGGGGGCAAGGGGAAAGATGGGCGGCAAGGGGAAAGACGGGCGGCAAGGGGAAAGATGGGCGGCAAGGGGAAAGACGGGCGGCAAGGGGAAAGATGGGCGGCAAGGGGAAAGATGGGCGGCAAGGGGAAAGACGGGCGGCAAGGGGAAAGATGGGCGGCAAGGGGAAAGATGGGCGGCAAGGGAAAAGACGGGCGGCAAGGGGAAAGATGGACGGCAAGGGGAAAGATGGGGGGAAAGGGACAAGGGAAAAGCAAGAAAGAGTTGAGGGTTGAGTGTGGCTGCGAGAGAGGCGGCATGAGACACAGCAACGGGAAAATCTCTGAAGCTGTTCAGGGCGAAATGCGTCTCATTCCAATCACAGCGACATGGGGGCATGGCCGCCAGCCCCACCCACCAGGAAGAGGCTCCTTCCCGGGTAGCCCCCCGAGGCCACAAAGGCTTCCCACACCGCCCTCGCTGCCTGCACCTGCCCCGCACTCGCATACACCCTGGTGGGGGGAGGGGTAAGGGGGGTAGATGGCGAGATGGGGTGGAGGGGGAGAAGGAAGGGCGGATTGTGGGAGGGCAACAGAGATATGCGGCGAGCAGAGATGTGTGGCGAGCAGAGATGTGTGGCGAGCAGAGATGTGTGGCGAGCAGAGATGTGTGGCGAGCAGAGATGTGTGGCGAGCAGAGATGTGTGGCGAGCAGGGAAGAGAAAGGCAGACGTGGAGGGGTGCAGGTGGTGCTGTCACGGTGCATGCCGCCCAGTTGATGAGCTGGCGGACCCACCTGATGAGGCGGCGGTGCATGTGTGCATTTGGTGTGACCCCATCCTCCCTCGCTGCTGCCATCACCTGCTCCGCCCCCTGCATGGCATGGCATGGCATGGCAGGCATGGCATGGCATGGCATGGCATGGCATGGCATGGCATGGCAGGCATGGCATGGCATGGCATGGCATGGCATGGTATGGCATGGCATGGTATGGTATGGTATGGCATGGCATGGCATGGCATGGTATGGTATGGCATGGCATGGCATGGCATGGCATGGCATGGCATGGTATGGTATGGTATGGTATGGCATGGTATGGTATGGTATGGTATGGCATGGTATGGCATGGCATGGCATGGCATGGTCCCAGAGAGAGGGGCGAGGGGACTGGGAGGTATGTCACACCGAGCGCACTGGTCCCGCTCACCACCCTCACCTGCGCCCGCCTTCCCTCGCCTCCCATTCCCCACCTGCCTTCCCCCCCCCTTCCTGCCTTCCCCCCCCCTTCCTGCCTTCCCCCCCCCCTTCCTGCCTTCCACCCCCCTTCCTGCCTTCCCCCCCCCCTCCTGCCTTACCCCCCCCTCTGCCTCCCCGCTCCTCTGCCTCCCCCCATCTGCCTCCCCCCTTCTCTGTCTCCCCCCCTGCCTCACCTGCGGGTCTCTGAGCGTCTCCATAGCCGTCAGCGCTGCCATGTAATGCCGCAACGTGCCGCCCTGCACCGTGCCGCCACCCTGCATGGCAGCTGCTTCTGCTCTTGCCGCTCCTCCCCCTGCTAATGCCGCCTGATCCCCCTCATCCGCCCCTTCCTCTCCCCCTCCTCCTCCCAACTCCCCCTCCTCCTCTCCCCCCTCCCCTTCCCCCACCCCTCCCCCCTGCCCTGGGGCCTCCTCAGAGGGCAGGGCGCGCGCCTCATCCAGCAGAGCTAGCACCTTGTGGGGGAAATGGGGAGGGGGGAGGGGGAAGGCGGATGGGGGAGGGGGATGGAGGAGGGGGATGAGGGATGGGGGATGGGGAGGGGATGGGGAGGGGGATGGGGAGGGGGATGGGGAGGGGGATGGGGAGGGGATGGGGAGGGGGATGGGGAGGGGATGGGGAGGGGGATGGGGAGGGGGATGGGGAGGGGGATGGGGAGGGGAATGGCGTGGGGCAGGCGAGGGGAAGAAGGATGGCTTGCAAGAGGGAGAAGGGAGACGGGATGGAATGGCACTGGTGAGGGGGAGAGGGAATGGTATACAAGAGGAAAGAGCATGGGGAAGGATGAGAGGGGAGAGCATGGGGAAGGATGAGAGGGGAGAGCATGGGGAAGGATGAGAGGGGAGATGCGCGGGGCGGCAGTAACATGGGTCAGCTGCTCTGCTGCCGTGGCAGTGCAAGCAGGAGCAGAAGGGACCTTGGCTTTGCAGCGGGGCAGCAGCGGGAGGTGGTTGGCATGTGCCGTGATGAGCGCCGCCAGTGTGAGGCGCGTGCGCTGCCTGCCCCCCGCCTCCATCTCCCGCACCACCGCTTCCCTGCTCCCACACACGCCCCGGTGGGGGGGAGGGCAGGGGGTTGAGGAAGGCAGCACAACGAGGTTGGGAGGAAGCCGGGGGCAGGGAGGAGCTTGGCGTGCTTGCATGGAGAGAGGCGGATGCATGCAGGGTAGAGGCAGGCAGGGCAAGGCAGGGCAGGGCAGGGCAGGGCAGGGCAGGGCAGGGCAGGGCAGGGCAGGGCAGGGCAGGGCAGGGGTCAGGGCAGGGCAGGGCAGGGCAGGGCCAGGGCAGGGCAGGGCAGGGCAGGGCAGGGCAGGGCAGGGCAGGGCAGGGCAGGGCAGGGCAGGGCAGGGCAGGGCAGGGCAGGGCAGGGCAGGGCAGGGCAGGGCAGGGCAGGGCAGGGCAGGGCAGGGCAGGGCAGGCAGGGCAGGGCAGGGCAGGGCAGGGCAGGGTCAGGGCAGGGCAGGGCAGGGCAGGCAGGGCAGGGCAGGGCAGGGCAGGGCAGGGCAGGGCAGGGCAGGGCAGGGCAGGGCAGGGCAGGGCAGGGCAGGGCAGGGCAGGGCAGGGCAGGGGCAGGGCAGGGCAGGGCAGGGCAGGGCAGGGCAGGGCAGGGCAGGGCAGGGCAGGGCAGGGCAGGGCAGGGCAGGGCAGCAGGGCAGGGCAGGGCAGGGCAGGGCAGGGCAGGGCAGGGCAGGGCAGGGCAGGGCAGGGCAGGGCAGGGCAGGGCAGGGCAGGGCAGGCAGGGCAGGGCAGGGCAGGGCAGGGGCAGGGGCAGGGCAGGGCAGGGCAGGGGCAGGGCAGAGGGCAGGGCAGGGCAGGGCAGGGCAGGGGCAGGGCAGGGCAGGGCAGGGCAGGGCAGGCAGGCAGGGCAGGGCAGGGCAGGGCAGGGCAGGGCAGGGCAGGGCAGGGCAGGGCAGGGCAGGGCAGGGCAGGGCAGGGCAGGGCAGGGCAGGGCAGGGCAGGGCAGGGCAGGGCAGGCAGGCAGGGGCAGGGCAGGGCAGGGCAGGGCAGGGCAGGGCAGGGCAGGGCAGGGCAGGGCAGGGCAGGGCAGGGCAGGGGCAGGGCAGGGCAGGGCAGGGCAGGGCAGGGCAGGGCAGGGCAGGGCAGGGCAGGGCAGGGCAGGGCAGGGCAGGGCAGGGCAGGGCAGGGCAGGGCAGGGCAGGCAGGGCAGGGCAGGGCAGGGCAGGGCAGGGCAGGGCAGGGCAGGGCAGGGCAGGGCAGGGCAGGGCAGGGCAGGGCAGGGCAGGGCAGGGCAGGGCAGGGCAGGGCAGGGCAGGGCAGGGCAGGGCAGGGCAGGGCAGGGCAGGGCAGGGCAGGGCAGGGCAGGGCAGGGCAGGGCAGGGCAGGGCAGGGCAGGGCAGGGCAGGGCAGGGCAGGGCAGGGCAGGGCAGGGCAGGCAGGGCAGGGCAGGGCAGGGCAGGGCAGGGCAGGGCAGGGCAGGGCAGGGCAGGGCAGGGCAGGGCAGGGCAGGGCAGGGCAGGGCAGGGCAGGGCAGGGCAGGGCAGGGCAGGGCAGGGCAGGGCAGGGCAGGGCAGGGCAGGGCAGGGCAGGGCAGGGCAGGGCAGGGCAGGGCAGGGCAGGGCAGGGCAGGGCAGGGCAGGGCAGGGCAGGGCAGGGCAGGGCAGGGCAGGGCAGGGCAGGGCAGGGCAGGGCTGCCAAGGGAAGGGCACATGAGGAGCAGCAGGGGTGGAAGCGAGAGGAGTGGGGGTGCACGATGGGTGGAGGGGTGGAGGGGTGGAGGGGAGGTGGGCTCACGCGAGGGCGATGCGGCCGGTGTTGGCGGCGGCGTTGAGCAGTGCGATGTATGTGCGCTGATGGAACTCCATGCCCGCCCTCCTCATGCCCTCCGCCACCTGCCATGCCATGCCATGCCATGCCATGCCATGCCATGTTGTGAGAGGAGGCATGGACAATAGAGGGGTATGGAACGCACGGTGGAAGTGAAGCAGAGCAGGTGCCCATGCGGTGCAGGTGCCCATGCGGTGCAGGTGCCCATGCGGTGCAGGTGCCCATGCGGTGCAGGTGCCCATGCGGTGCAGGTGCCCATGCGGTGCAGGTGCCCATGCGGTGCAGGTGCCCATGCGGTGCAGGTGCCCATGCGGTGCAGGTGCCCATGCGGTGCAGGTGCCCATGCGGTGCAGGTGCCCATGCGGTGCAGGTGCCCATGCGGTGCAGGTGCCCATGCGGTGCAGGTGCCCATGCGGTGCAGGTGCCCATGCGGTGCAGGTGCCCATGCGGTGCAGGTGCCCATGCGGTGCAGGTGCCCATGCGGTGCAGGTGCCCATGCGGTGCAGGTGCCCATGCGGTGCAGGTGCCCATGCGGTGCAGGTGCCCATGCGGTGCAGGTGCCATGCGGTGCAGGTGCCCATGCGGTGCAGGTGCCCATGCGGTGCAGGTGCCCATGCGGTGCAGGTGCCCATGCGGTGCAGGTGCCCATGCGGTGCAGGTGCCCATGCGGTGCAGGTGCCCATGCGGTGCAGGTGCCCATGCGGTGCAGGTGCCTATGCGGTGCAGGTGCCCATGCGGTTGCAGGTGCCCATGCGGTGCAGGTGCCCATGCGGTGCAGGTGCCCATGCGGTGCAGGTGCCCATGCGGTGCAGGTGCCCATGCGGTGCAGGTGCCCATGCGGTGCAGGTGCCCATGCGGTGCAGGTGCCCATGCGGTGCAGGTGCCCATGCGGTGCAGGTGCCCATGCGGTGCAGGTGCCCATGCGGTGGCAGGTGCCCATGCGGTGCAGGTGCCCATGCGGTGCAGGTGCCCATGCGGTGCAGGTGCCCATGCGGTGCAGGTGCCCATGCGGTGCAGGTGCCCATGCGGTGCAGGGTGCCCATGCGGTGCAGGTGCCCATGCGGTGGTGCAGGTGCCCATGCGGTTGCAGGTTGCCCATGCGGTGGCAGGTGCCCATGCGGTGCAGGTGCCCATGCGGTGCAGGTGCCCATGCGGTGCAGGTGCCCATGCGGTGCAGGTGCCCATGTGGTGCAATCAACATGGCATTGGCGATGCAGGCAGCAGCGCAGGGGGAGGCCGGTAGGAGCAGGAGTGGGCCGGTAGGTGCAGGGGGGGGCGGTAGGTGCAGGGGGGGCGGTAGGTGCAGGGGGGGGCGGTAGTGCAGGGGGGGCGGTAGGTGCAGGGGGGGGCGGTAGGTGCAGGGGGGGGGCGGTAGGTGCAGGGGGGGCCGGTAGGTGCAGGGGGGTAGGTGCAGGGGGGCGGTAGGTGCAGGGGGGGCGGTAGGTGCAGGGGGGGGCGGTAGGTGCAGGGGGGGGCGGTAGGTGCAGGGGGGGGCGGTAGGTGCAGGGGGGGGCGGTAGGTGCAGGGGGGGGCGGTAGGTGCAGGGGGGGCGGTAGGTGCAGGGGGGGGGCGGTAGGTGCAGGGGGGGGCGGTAGGTGCAGGGGGGGGCGGTAGGTGCAGGGGGGGGCGGTAGGTGCGAGGGGGGGGTGGTAGGTGCAGGGGGGGGCGGTAGGTGCAGGGGGGGCCGGTAGGTGCAGGGGGGGGCGGTAGGTGCAGGGGTGGGCGGTAGGTGCAGGGGGGGGCGGTAGGAGCAGGGGGGGGTGGTAGGTGCAGGGGGGGGCGGGAGGCACCTTGAAGGCGAGGTCGACGTGCAGGCAGATGGCACAGGCGCTGATGACCATGTTGTGCATCACCACCTGATGCATGCCAGCCGTGTGCCGCATGCACGGCGCATGGCATGCAGGGCATGGGGCATGCATGGGGCATGGGATGCGGGGCATGGGGCATGGAGCATGGGGTATGGGGATGGGAGGGATGGGTGAAGGTAGGGAAGGGGGATGGGCCACAAGGAAGGAATGTGCGGAGGTAATCACCTCTGGGGGTGGACGGGACGCACGCTGAGCAGAGACGGGGGGAAAAGGGGCGGGGGAAAGCAGGCAGCACACGGTGCTTACGTCAAGCGCCATGCCACGTGTCTTCATGTGATTGAAGAAGAAGAGCACGTCGTGCAGGCGGCCGGCCTTCATGGCGGCGGCAGTGGCGAGGTGGAAGGAGGTGCGGTCGGCCGCCACGCCGTCACTCTGCATGTCGTTCCACACGTCGCGCAGCAGGTGCGCCCTGAGTGATGCAGATGGTGCCACGTGGCAGGCATGCAGGTGATTGTATTGAATTGGCAGGGGGTGGGTGGGCCAGGTGAGGAGCTAGGGGTTGAGTTGACACCAAGGAGCCATGGCATGCCGCGCCATGCCAAGCAAGGGAGTCTTGTCTTGTTATTCCTTCTGCACAACCCTTCCGCATGCCCTCCCCATCCCACCCCCCTCCCACCCACCCCATCTCCTCCGTTCCCCACCCCATCCCCCCCCCACGTCCGCGCCACCCGCGCACCTGTTAGTGTCCGCCAGGTGCTGCAGCACGTTGTTGTATCCGCGCACGCCGCGCGCATACACGCGCTCCTCCCACTCTGGCGCACGGGCCTGCGCCCATCTCGCTCTGCTGCCCCCTGCTTTGCCGTCCGACACCCCGCCGCCTGCCGTCGACTCGCGCGCCGTTGACGTGGCTTCGTGCCGACCGTCGCCGGCGGCTGCTGACGTGGTACTGCCAGGTGGCACCGTCCCTTCCGGGGAATGCGGGGACGAGGCGAATGTGGTGGCGGCTGTGAACGAATCGGAGAGGCTGCGATAAGGCGGAATGAGGGTGCGCGGGGAAAGAAGTATGCGAGAAGGGTGCGCCATGCGCGGTGGGTTCATTAGCGGAGAAGGTGGGCGGAGGCGTGGCGGGTGATCCAGAAGAAAATGCCGCGTGGATCGTGCGATCGGCGGAGGCGGCGCACGCGGAGAGAGGCGGAAGCGGCGATGGAGCGGCGGAGGCTGGCGACAGCACTGGGTTGGGCAATCCGCGCACTCGGCGGAGTGTAAGGGGGAGAAGGCGGCGGGCAGCCATGACCTCGAGAATGTATGCTGATTATGGCCTTCGATAATGGAAAGCATTAATTAGCGATGGGTGGAGTCGGAATGCGGAATTTAGCCTTTACTTGACATTGCACTGTACTACAGATTCGTGTTACCGTCGTAAAGAGTCTGACTGTAGGCTGAGTTTTGATTTCCGCTGCACTTGTCTGGTCCCAGGTGGTGCACGCACGCTGGAACTTGGGCGTTCAACGACGCTGATTGGATCGCTGATTTCTTGTCCGACGTGTAGATGCAAATGAGGTGTGCCATCGGCCACATCAACCTGGCTCGGGGTCCAATCTCGGGATAATTTCCCTGCTGTCCCTCGAGAAGGTCCCACCCGCCACCCTCGATACTGTCGCAACGCATCGGAACACTTTCACTTGTCTCGTCCACTGTCTGCTCTACTGATTAGGCACAGCACACTGTCGTATGCTGATCACCGCATTGCAAGCAGAAGTCTCTAGTCATGGCGACCACGGCTTGACGAATTCGCAATTCGCAGCTGCCATGCTGCTGCATCACGTGCGTCAACTGGTGCGTCGCTGACCGTCGTACCTCCCTGCCCACCATGCCTCCGCTCGCCCAGGAATCGGCGCGCTTCAAGAGACCGCCTCGCGATGCGTCCCTGCCGCGGCCGTCGCGTCCGTCGCTGCCGGACGGCTTCGAGTCGGACGACGGCGCGAGGAGCGACGGCGGCGCGAGAAGCGACGTCGACGCGTGGAGCGACAGTGACGTGAGGAGCGACGACGAACGGTGGGCGGAGGGACTGCTGGACATCGGCAGTGCGGCGGACGACGCATCCCCGCCCGCCTCGATTTCTGCCACCACCCAATCAGCCAAGGTTCGCCGCAAATCTCTCCTCTGCCTATGCCCAATTCCCCCATCACACCTTCTCAGACTCGTGCGTCCACCCGCCCTAGCTAGCTCGCACTGGCCTCGCTGATCCAAGGTCCTGTATCCCCCATTCCCCCCCATCCCCCTTGTGTCTGCTATTCCCGCCAGTTCCGCTGCCTGCAGTGCGGCAGCTCCGCGCATCCCTCGTGGCTCTGCGATGCCCCTCCGCCAGCCGCTCGCTGCGCGCACTGCGCCGCCAAGGAGAAGGGTAAGCGGCCCTTGCCGTGCCCGGACGTCGCCACCGCTTTGAACCGCATCACATCTTGCCGTGCGACGGCTGACGTCGCCGGCATGCAGGCTGCAATCGACGGTTTGCAGCGCGCCGGCCATCGCCCGCCGCTGGAGGCGTTTTCGCAGGTGATTGCGACGCACGCGACGCTGGGGGAGCCAGAAAAGGCGGAAGCGGTGTTGGCGGAGATGGAAGCAGCGGGGGTGGCGGCGGACCCGGTGTGCTACAACGCCGTGGTCAACGCCTTCTGCTCCCGCGCGCGCGTGGACGAGGCGCTCACTGTGCTGCGGCGCATGCGGTTCAACGGGTGGGAGCCGACGGCCAGCACGTACAACACGCTCATCAAAGGCTTCGGCGCCGCCAAGCGCCCGGAAGACGCGGCGAAAGTCGCGGAGATGATGGTGGGACGCGCGGGAGCAGCGGCAGGGCGGCGCAAGGGCGGGCGGAGCCGGTCGCGGGAGAAGCTGCGGGGGACGGGGAGGGGCGGGGGGGGAGGGGAAGGGCGGCGAGTTGCGGACGTACAACATGTTGCTGAACGCGTGGTGCGAGCGCGGGGACGTGGAGCAGGCGCGCGCGGTGCTGCGCGAGATGCGCGCAGCGGGCGTGGCGCCGGACGCGGTGTCGTACAACACGCTGATGAAGGCGTACGGGCGGCTGGGGCGCCCCAACGACTGCGAGCGCGTGCTGCGCGAAATGGTGAACGCGCTCGTGCGCCCCAACGCGCGCACGTTCGGCATGATGGTGCGCGCGCTGTGCGACGTGGGGCGCATGGCGGACGCGGAGGTGGTGGCGGAGCGCATGCGCGAGTGGGACGTGGCGCCGAACGCGACCATCTTCAACACCATCGTGAAGGGGTACTGCCAGGCCGGCCAGCCGCTCCCCGCCGCGCAGGTGAGCTCCGTGCCGTGCGGCGGGTGAACTGGGAGAGGGAGACGGCTCCGAGGGACGGGTGACAGCAGGTGAGGGCGGGTGAATTGGGAGAGGAATGCGACTGCAGAGATGGTTGGCGGAGATGCGGGAGTGGTTGATGAGCAGGGCCGGGCGTGAGGAGATGGATCGGGCGTGAGGAGAAGGAGCGGGTCAGAGGGTCGGATATGTGGCATGCGCGCTTGATTAGTCATCGACGGGCGAAGAGCAGCTTGATTAGTCATCGACGGGCGAAGAGCAGCTTGATTAGTCATCGACGGGCGAAGAGCAGGAAGAACGTGCGGAGCGAGGGGTTTGGCGGGAGAAGAAGGAGCGAGCAGCTAGAAAATAGGAGAGGCGGATCAAGCAGAGAGAGAAAAAGCGGGGGAAAGAAGGAACGCCCAAAGAGACGAAGGAACAGATATGTGCTAGACTGAAGCACGAATCTTACATCTCGCAGCATCCCGAGTGCTGTGAGCTGCTGGCTTTGCCACTCCTCACTTCCACCCATGTTCCCCGCGCGCACAGCGCCCCACTCACCACCATTCCCCGCATTTCTCCCCACTCACCGCCGTCCCCCACGACCCCCCACGGCGCTGGGCCCGGCAGGTGCTGCAGAAGATGCGGTTGGCGGGCGTGCCCCCCGACCTGGCGTCGTACTGCACGCTCATGAACGCGTGGAGCACCGCGGCGCGCCCCGACCGCGCGCGCGCCGTACTGCAGGAGGCCATGGCGGCGGGGCTGGCGCCAGACGTGGAGGCGTTCTCGGTGCTCGCCAAGGGGTACCTGCGCGCAAGGCAGGGGGACGCCGCCGAGCGGCTGCTGGACGAGATGCGCGAGCAGCATGGGTTGGCGCCGAACGTGGTGACGTACACGACGGTGATGGGCGCGTACTGTAGCATGGGCGCGCGCATGGACTCCGCCATGGCTGTGTATGAGCGCATGGTGGGCGCGGGCGTGCGCCCCAACGCTTTCACGTTCCGCACGCTCATCTGGGGCTTCTGTGAGGCGCGCCTGCCCCACCGCGCGGAGGCCGTGCTGCGCCTGATGGAGGCGGAGGGGGGGCCGCTGGACGCGCGGTGCTACGAGCAGACGAGCCTCGCGTGGCAGTCCGTGGGGCTGTGGCGCGACGCCCAGCGCATCGCCGCGGAGAAGCGCGACAAGTGTGGCGCGCAGGGCGGGGGGACGCGGAAGCTGAGCAAGCGCGAGGAGAGGGGCAGGCGGGTGAGGGCGGAAGGGGGTGGGACAGGGGGAGATAGGATCAGAGGGGCTGGGGGAGGGAGCAGGGCGGGCTTGGGAGATGGCAGTGTTGGGCAGACTGGCAATGGGGCGAGTCATGGCAGCAGCAGCAGTGAGAGCATGAGAGGCAGTGATGAGAGTGATGGTGAGAGCAGCAGCGGTGGTGGTGAGAGGATTGGTGTGGAGAGCAACAGCAGGGTTGAAGGTGCAGGGCAGGAGGGCGAGGGCAGCAGCAGTGCAGCAGCACAGCAGGCAGAAGCTGAGGGGAAGGCGGCAGTGAGGGTTGGAGGGGGCGATAGGGGTGGCAGCGTCAGATCAGGCATGATGAATGGCAGGGAGTCTAGGGGGCCGAGCGGCAGTGCGAGGGGCAGTGGAAGAGGCAGTACGACTCGCATATGGCAAAGACCACAGTCCCTCCCTGTGCCACAAGGGGAGGTGGCAACTGGTGCAGGTGCCACCCAGTCAGAGGCCCAGAGGTCCCCGTCAGCCGCCCTGCAGCCCTGCGCTGCTGCTGCTCTCCACCTGCGCTCCCCCCTCCCCCTGCCACGCCCACACCTCCAGCCGTGGCAGCACTGCCATTCGCCCCACGCCCCCCTCTCCGCTCTCACCTGGGCTGCAGCTGTCGCACCACACCGCGCTCCTCTTCTTGCCCTCCCCTTCTCCCTTGCTACGCTTCTCTCGCGCCCCTCTCCCACCACTGCCCGCTGCAAGCACCCCGTGCGCGTGTGTGTGGGGCCGGCACTGCGGCGGCTGCAGGCTGGCAGAACCGCTTACAGGCCCCTGTGTGCGGGCAGAGCCACACTGTCACGGCGCCCACACCCGCCCCGGCTGCTCGCACTGCCCTCCCGGGCCTCACAAGCATGCCCCTCGCCTCGCACTCCCAGCCTCGCTTGGACCGGCAGCAGGCGAGTGGGTGAGACGGGCACAGCAGCTGCATCGCGCATGGGATTGCTATCCCGGGTGGGGCAGGGACGAGCGCTTGTTGTTATTATTTGATTGCATTGCCATGCTGCTAGCTAGGACTGTCGAATCCGTCGCCGCTCGTTGTAGGAGCTTTAGGTGACTCATTGTGCTTTAGATGGCTTATTGAAAGAATGGATTCTCCTGTTGGCAATGAAATGGTTGGTTGCAAGGCACCTCTCTCAACCGTACTCGCGTCAATTGTTTAGACCAAGTGGCTCTCATCACCGAAATGGTTGGCAGTTGCCTCCACTGTCCCAGCAACAATCATCGCACGGCTCGCACACCTGCCAATCGCACCATACAAGCCTCGCCTCGCCTCGCCTCGACCCCCCAGCACGTGCCAGGCTTCCTACTCTCTCCCTACACCGCTCCTCTTCGTCACTCTCACCCTCCGCGCCCATGTCGGCCTCCGCCCGCCTGCGCGCATGTGCAGTCGGCGGGCGCGAGGCTCTATGGGATGCTGGCGCGGGGCGCGCGGAACAGCACCCAGGAGTCCGCCATTCGGCGCTTGAAATGGCCACCCGCAGATGATGGCGGCATGCGCGGAAAGCTGAGTGCTGCGCCTATGCCCCGCCGCTCACTGCTCTCCCTCAAGCGCCAAGCCCTGCGCCCCAGAATGCCGCTCAGCGGACCTCCGCCGATCGCTCTCCGCAGCACCAGTAGTCAACGCCAAGGGCGCGCGCCCCCCGTGGTGGCTCTAGCAGGTGGGAGGCGGAGGGGCGGAGGCGGAATGACGCGATGGGTGGGGGGAGGGGAAGGAGAGGTTTGAGGCGAGGATGATCTGTGGTCGAGAGGGGGAGAGACGAGGGGGGAGGAGAGGTAGCGCGCGCAACGGGCGCTTGCAATGGCGGAAAGGGCAATGCGCAGGAATAAAGGGTCCCGCGCGGATGCCCCCGTCCAAACCCCAACCCCCAAATCCCCACCCGAACCCCCCAACCCCCGCCCCCCCCAACCCCCGGACCCCTTCCCCCAGGCAGCAAGTGGCGACGCAGCGACCAGCCCCCCGTGCGGCTTCCGCCCGTGCTGAGCCCGTCCGCGTCCGCGCTGCTGCGCCAGCTGCGCCAGCAGAAGCTGCGCCGACAAAGATGGGCGGCGCTGGATGTGGCTAGCGCGGGAGGAGGGGGAGGCGGAGGGCGGAAGGGCGCGGAGGAGGACGTGGCGGCGGTGCTGCGCGAGCTGCGGCGCAGGGAGGAGTGGCACGTAGTGGCGCATGTAAGCCGGCATGTGGTGGTGACCCTACCCTTCCATCTCCCCGTTTCTTCAGTCAACTGTTCCCCTCACACGTCCCCAACCCACCCGTCCACCCGCCTCACCTTTCTTTTCTTGCCTTCCACCAAAACATGCCGCCCATCCCATTCCCTTCTCGGAACCCCTCTCTCCGCCACTTCTCCCCTCCCCACAGGTGTACGAGTGGGTGGTGGCGCGCGAGGGGTGGCGCGCGGATGTGTCGGGGTACAATCTGCTCATGGACGCCTACGCGCGCTCAGGCGCCGCCCCCACCGCTCTGCGCGTCTTCCGCCTCATGCAGCAGGGGCGCGTGCGCTTCTCCCTCCCACAGACGCGCGGACGGGAGAGGGCAGCGGGGGGAAGAGAGAGAGATGCAGGGGAGGAAGGAGAGGGAGCAAGGGGAAGAGAGGGTAGAGGGCCGCGGGGAAAGGGGAGGGAGGAGGAGGAGGGGGACGGGGAGGAATGGGAAGAAGTGGAGGGGGAAAGGGGGGAAGTGGGGGAGGAGGAGGTGGAGATGTGGGTGGAGGAGGGAGTGGGCGTGTGTGTGCCCAGCGAGGCGTCATTCAACGTGGTGCTGGGCGGCCTGTGTCGTCAGGGCCTGCTGCCGCCCGCTGAAGAGCTTTTTCAGGAGATGCTTCACCGCGGCTACCGCCCCAGTGAGTGCTGCCGCCCCAGTGAGTGCTGCCGCCCCAATTGGTGGGTGCGCGGCGGAATGCAGATGCTGAGCGGAGAGGCGAGAGCAGTTAGGCCAGTGGCGGGACGCACAGTAATGCTCAATCAGCCATGCCATGCCACCTCCCCTCCCTCCCTCCCCACCTCCTCTCTGTCCCCATCACAATGCTCTCCTCACCACCTGCCCTGCCTCTGCACCCGCTTCCCCCTGCCCCTTGCCTACCCTGCCCCACTGCCCCCTTTGCCCCCTGCCTCTCCCGCCCCTGCGCCCTGCCCTCTCCCCTCAGGTCTGGTGACGTACAACACGATGGTGGAGGTGCGGGGCAGGGCGGGGGACGTGGAGGGCGCGGAGGGGCTCATGCGCGCCATGCGGGGGGAGGGCGTGCGCCCCACCGCCGCCTCCTACGCGCTGCTCATGCACGCCTATGGCAAGGTGACGTGACGCTCTTACCCCTGCTGCTTGGTCCCTCTCTGTCTCTGCCACGCACCATCACACCCGCTCTCTCTCTCTCTCTCTCTCTCTCTCTCTCTCTCTCTCTCTCTCTCTCTCTCTCTCTCTCTCTCTCTCTCTCTCTCTCTCTCTCTCTCTCTCTCTCTCTCTCTCTCTCTCTCTCTCTCTCTTCCTCCCACCTTGTCTTCCCCCTCCCCGCCTCCCTCCCAGGCGGGGCTGCCCCAGCGCGCAGAGGAGGTGTTTGCGGGGCTGCACGGGGCGGCGGTGCTGCCCACGGTGCCGTGCTTCACGGCGCTGATAGCGGCGCATGCACGCGTGGGGCAGTGGCGGGAGGCACAGCGCGCGTACGACAGCATCGCGCTCATGGGGCTGCGCCCCGACCTGCACTCCACCACCGCCCTCCTGCACGCCCTCTCGTGAGACACTCTAAGAGCAGCGTGAGGACGCTCAGCCTCGTGCTGTGGCGCGACCCTTTGATTGCTGGGCTGCCAGGCTGCTGGGCTGCTGGGCTGCTGGGCTGCGGCAGCAGCACAACAGCCTCTCCAGTCTCCACACGGCCCACAACAGCCTCTTCCCCTCACCCCATTCCTCCGCCCGTGCCCTTCAACCTCTCCCTTCCCTCCCCTCCCCCCTTCCCCCCCTCCCCCAACGCCACCCCCCAGCACGGCGGGCGAGGTGGCGCGGGCGCGGGGAGTGCTAGAGGCCATGCAGCGCACCACCGGTGCTGCCCCTCCGCCCTCCTGTGTCACCCCGCTGCTCGCCGCCCTGGCCCGGCAGGGACTGTGGACAGGTGAGCGGGGGGAGGGGGATGAGGAGAGGGGAGGGCGAGGAAGGGAGGTGAGGAAGGAAACTGGTGGGGTGGGGAGTGGTGTGGGGAAAATGGAAAGGGAAGCAGTGTGGTGGTGGGCGTGCAGCAGCAGAGAGTGCACTATGCATGCACGTATGAAGGAGCAGAGAATGAATGTCATAACGCAGGAAATGGCTCCACCCGTCCTCCTTTCAGCCCCACATCTGCCTTCCTTCTCACCACCCACACCGCGCCTCGTTCCACCCATCCCCCCCCTCCCTTCCCCCCCCCATCAGAGGCGGAGGAGGTGTATGCATCGCTAGCAGCGGCAGGCACACCCCCCCCGGTGCGGTGGCAGCACGAGCTGCTGCGTGCATACGAGCGGGCAGGGCTGCCGGAGAAAGTGCAGGCACACCTGGCGCTGCTGCGCGGATGGGGGGAAGGGGAGATGGGGCGCACGCAGGAGGGGGAGGGGAGGGACGATGCGGGGGAAGAGAGGAGACGTGGGAGAGGGAGTGGGAGGGGTGGTGGAGGGAGGGCGCGGGGGCGGGTGGACAGGACAATGCTCAACTGCCTGGCGGGGGCACATGGGCACGCGGGGGACAGGGCAGCCATGCAGCGAGTGCTGGTGCGCATGCATGGGGGGGAGGGGGCGGCATGGCATGTGAGCTCATACAACACCGTGCTCGCCGTGCTCGTGCATGCTGCTGACATGGCGGGCGCTGAGAGGCTCATGGATGACATGCGGGCGGGCGGGGTGGCCCCTGATGCCGCCACGTGGACCACCCTCATGGGCGGGTACGCGGAGAAGAAGCTTCTGAGAAAGTGCATGAGTGTGTTTAGGAAGATGGTGGCAGCGGGGTTGCGTTGGGATGCGGGGGCGGTGCGGGTGATGCTGGCGGCGTGTCGCAGTGCGGAGCAGCAGGAGGAGGTGAGGCAGCTCGTGGAGAGTGTGGTCAGGAAGAGGACCAAGCGCTCCCTGCCCTCGTGATCGCCTTTCAGAATCGTGGGATGCAGCACCTGAACGGCTTACCATTTCCTTGGGTTTCGCATGTACTTATGCATTATATAAGAGATGATAAGAGAACTTATGGTTCCTATAAACAACTGTCCTCGTAACGTGATGCACTATAGTGCTGATATCAATGTTCACAGTGCCCCTCGCTTTTATCTCCGCGCCATCTTTGATAGCATGGCGGAGTCGCTTTCGCCTTCCGCCATCGCCATCGCCATCCGCCTTGCCTCGCCTGTCCGTCGCTCGCCTTCTCCTCCCACACTCCCCTCTAACCCCGCCCTTACACCCGCCCTCCGCATTAGCCCCCCCTTCTCCTGTCCTACCCCTCGTCGTCCGCCCTTCCCAATTCGTCTGCTCGCGCCACGCGCGTCCCGCGCATTCCCTCGCCCGCCCGCTGCTCTTCCCGCTGATTCCGTGCCTTCCACCGCGTCTCCGCCCTCGACACCGCAAGCCCCGCGCGAATGGCGGAAGCTGTGGGCGCAACTGGCGCGGAAGTGGGCCATGCGGGGGCGGCGGTGGCGGTGGGGCGTGCTGGACGGGTACCTCGCGCGCAGCATGGCGCGCCCCTTCGCGGTGGCGGCGGGCGTGGCGGCGAGTGTGGGCGTGGCGCTGGGGTCGCTGGCGGAGGTGGCGCGCGTGGCGGCCAACACGGGCGCGCCGCTCCGCCTGGCGCTGCTGGTCGCGCTGCACCACCTCCCGCGCTTCCTCGCGCTCGCGCTCCCCCCCGCCTGCCTCGCCGCCTCCCTCTTCGCCTTCTCCCACCTCCTGGTGCGCCCCCCGCCCCTTTGCGCCCACACAATTCCCTCCCCCACTTGCGCCCACATACGCGCCTACCCCTTGCATCCGCATCCCTACCCCCCTCCCTGCAGCGTCGCTCGCAGGTGGCGCGGGGCTGAGTCCCTCAATTGCAACCCACCTTGTCACTCTCTCTGCCCCTCCTTCCAATTGTCCCCTGATGCCCCCCCCGAGTGCCCCCAGGCGCAGAGCGAGCTGGCGGGCATGGCGGCGGGGGGGGTGGCGTGGGGCAGGCTGCTGCGCGCGCCAGTGTGTGTGGGCGTGGGGGCAGGCGTGCTCATGCTCGCATGCCATGAGCACGTGGTGCCATGGGCCATGCGCAGGTGACTCCACTCTGCCTGCCACAACATGCCATGCCATGCCAAATATGCAGTGCTGCATTCTGTCCTGAACATCCATCAACCTTTGCTCTCGGGCTCACTATGCATTGTGCATGGCATGGCATGGCATGGCAGGGCGCAGCGCATGGTGCAGGCGGCAGTGACATCGGACATGGCATCGCTGCCATCCCAGCAGCATGTCTTGCTGCGCGAATATGGTGCGCATGTATGTGATGGGGGGGAATATGGTGCGCATGTATGTGATGGGGGGGAATATGGTGCGCATGTATGTGATGGGGGGAATATGGTGCGCAGGTATGTGATGGGGGGGAATATGGTGCGCATGTATGTGATGGGGGGGAATATGGTGCGCATGTATGTGATGGGGGGGAATATGGTGCGCATGTATGTGATGGGGGGGAATATGGTGCGCATGTATGTGATGGGGGGGAATATGGTGCGCATGTATGTGATGGGGGGGAATATGGTGCGCATGTATGTGATGGGGGGGAATATGGTGCGCATGTATGTGATGGGGGGGAATATGGTGCGCATGTATGTGATGGGGGGGAATATGGTGCGCAGGTATGTGATGGGGGGGAATATGGTGCGCATGTATGTGATGGGGGGGAATATGGTGCGCATGTATGTGATGGGGGGGAATATGGTGCGCATGTATGTGATGGGGGGGAATATGGTGCGCATGTATGTGATGGGGGGGAATATGGTGCGCATGTATGTGATGGGGGGGAATATGGTGCGCATGTATGTGATGGGGGGGAATATGGTGCGCATGTATGTGACGGGGGGGAATATGGTGCGCATGTATGTGATGGGGGGGAATATGGTGCGCAGGTATGTGATGGGGGGGAATATGGTGCGCATGTATGTGATGGGGGGGAATATGGTGCGCATGTATGTGATGGGGGGGAATATGGTGCGCATGTATGTGATGGGGGGGAATATGGTGCGCATGTATGTGATGGGGGGGAATATGGTGCGCATGTATGTGATGGGGGGGAATATGGTGCGCAGGTATGTGATGGGGGGGAATATGGTGCGCATGTATGTGATGGGGGGGAATATGGTGCGCATGTATGTGATGGGGGGGAATATGGTGCGCATGTATGTGATGGGGGGGAATATGGTGCGCATGTATGTGATGGGGGGGAATATGGTGCGCATGTATGTGATGGGGGGGAATATGGTGCGCATGTATGTGATGGGGGGGAATATGGTGCGCATGTATGTGATGGGGGGGAATATGGTGCGCATGTGCATGTATGTGCAACCATGTGGTGCCATGCCATGCAGTGCCATGCAGTGTAATGCAGTGCCATGCATGCCATGTCAGGTGGTACTTCCAGTGGCCGTGTGCACCCTCACCACCTCACCCCCACCCTGCAACCCACTCACTCATCGCCTGCTCACCCTCCTCTCCGCTCCTCTCTCCATTCACCTCCGTGCCCGCCCCTCTCCGCCCACCAGGCGCAGCACCACCATGACCCCCTCGCACTCCTCCTCGCCCATCTTCACCCCCCCTCACCACACTCCACCATCGCCTCTCCTCTCACCGGCAGTGCAGGGGGGGCAGCGGCGGCAGCGGGGAAGGGGGGCGAGGGAATGTTGGGAGGGGGGGCGGGGCTGTGGCGGGTGTGGTATGCGGGGGAGGTGGGGGGGGGTGCCATGCGACGTGTCATGCTGCTGCACCTCGCCCCTCAGGGGCACGTGCAGGCCGTGAGTCCTTCTTCCCTCTTCCCCTGCTTGTCTCTCTGTCTCTCCGCCTCCCTGTCTCTATCGACCCTAACATGACTGGTAAATGAAGTGTCACGCACGAGTGGGCATGGAGATGAGCGGATCACAAGTCCGGCTATGTGTCAGCGCCTGCCCTCTCTGCCGTGCAATGGGGTGAGCAGGTGGTGGCAGCGGAGCGGTGTGAGTGGCAGCCACACTCGAGCACGTGGCGCCTCCTCAACTGCTGTCTGCTGCCGCTCGCCCCGCCTGACTGCCTGCCTTCCACCACACACACCATGGCACCACCATCGCTGCAACCACCTGCCGAACCGCTCTCCACCACACCATCCTCACACGGCGCCGCTACAGCACCGGCCTCCTTCTCTCTGCTGCAGGTGCTGCTCTCTCTGCCTCTCTCCATCTGCCTCCCACCATCACTCACCCTCGCCCTCGCCTGTGCTCTCATGCCTTTACCATCCGCACCTAGTTTGCTACTCCTCATGCCCATGTGTCACAATTTCCTGCTGTGCTGCTCTTTTTCCAGAAAGCCAGGTGCTGAATGTTTTCATTTCCTTCAAATGTTTGTGTCATACATCAGTGACCTCCTGCCCAACCCCTTCCTCCTACCTCCCCCCATCCCCTTCCCCTCCCCCCTCTTCCCGTCCCACCAGCTGGAGTCACTGGACGTGCCACTCGCCTCTGCGCTGCCCTCCTCCTCGCCTCTCGCTGCCCACGCCGCCCTGCCGCCTGCCTGTCTCCCCCGCAGCCTCCTCACAGCGCGCGCCAGGCACCTGCGCGCGCAGCTCGCATGGCTGCAGCGCCAGGCACCCCGCAAGGGGCCAAGGTGGTGGGGAAGGGACGAGCGGGCGGTGAGGGAGCAGCGCAGGCGGGTGGCGGAGCAGCGGAGGAGGGTGGCAGAGGCGGAGAGTGACTTGGTGCTGCGCGATGCCAGCTGTGCCTCCTGTGTGGCGTATGCTGTGGTGAGGCATGCATGCTGTGGTGAGGCATGCAGGGTGGGAGGGGCATGCATGGTGGGAGGGGCATGCAGGGTGGGAGGGGCATGCATGGTGGGAGGGGCATGCATGGTGGGAGGGGCATGCATGGTGGGAGGGGCATGCATGGTGGGAGGGGCATGCATGGTGGGAGGGGCATGCATGGTGGGAGGGGCATGCATGGTGGGAGGGGCATGCATGGTGGGAGGGGCATGCATGGTGGGAGGGGCATGCATGGTGGGAGGGGCATGCATGGTGGGAGGGGCATGCATGGTGGGAGGGGCATGCATGGTGGGAGGGGCATGCATGGTGGGAGGGGCATGCATGGTGGGAGGGGCATGCATGGTGTGGTGGTGAGCCGTGCATGGTGCAAGCCTGCATGCATGATAGTTGTCCATGGTCCATTCCTCTCCATCTCTCGCTCACGCCACTCCTCCATCTCATCCCCACCCCTCTTTCCCACCCCACGCTTCTCTCCCCCACAGCTGGGGGCGGTGGCAGTGCTGGTGACAGCGGCCCCTGCCAGCAAGCGGGTCATCTGGGTGGGGGGCCATCGCACGGCCACGGCCAGCAGAGGGGCGCCCTTCCAGCTGGCGCTGCCCCTTGCTGCCGCCTTCCACCTGCTCTCCGCTGCCCTCGCTGCTGCCGCCCGCTCCGCCCTCCTGCCCCCTCTCCTCGCTGCGTACCTGCCGCTCCTGCTCATGCTGCTGCTGCCCCCGCTGCTGCTGGGCAGGGAGACAGAGGCAGGGGTGAGGGTGGGAGTGAATAGCACGGAGGGAATAGGAGATGGGAAGAAAGTACTGTGAGGCGTGCAGGTGTGGCTGCGGCGTGGATCGGGTCGGGAGCGATTATGGAGAGGCGGTGACAGGATGGAGGAGGGGTACAAGCAGCTGAGGGGTGCAAGAATCTACCTGTGGTACCAGTTGCAGGCAGTGCTAAAAGCACGCATGTCGAGAGCATGGTACTCATCCTTCTCTAGCACATGGACCTTCACAAATCTGTAAAGCCCTGTACATATTACATCTTATTAGCACAATGAATAATTACAGAGGGTGCCTAGCAGCCTCAGCCACATGGCCAAATACTGCTCCAGGTATGCAGAGCAGCAGGGTGAGGTCACCAGGGCAGAGGCCACGTGTCAGTGAGCCCATGTGGGGTGAGTCAGGTCAGACGGGCTCGGGGTCTGCAAGGCCGCGGCAGAAGCCCCCATCATGGCAGGAGGCGGTGTGGAGGGCGGTACGGAGGTGCATGATGTGGTGGGAGAAGGTGGAGCCCGGTGTGGTGAGGAACAGGCGGCTCAGGGCGCACACCACCTTCTCCACCGCCGCCACCGCCACCGGGTTCCCTGCCAGCCCCTCCCTGTTCAGCCTCTCCGCCCACATCTTGCCCTCCAGGCTCGGCAACCGAACCACCACCACTGCCTCGGGTGAATCCAGGCCAGCTAGCGAGGCCGGTGTGGGCGAGCTCAAGCTGCTGGCAGAGCTGGCAGAGGCAGAGGCAGAGGCAGAGGCAGTGGTGGTGTTCATGTGTGGCAGCAGGGGCACGCCTTGCAGGGCGGAGAGGAACACAGCAAGGTCCGAATCTGAAGTGTCTGACGCCAGGAACAGCAATGGCCGCCCGGGAAACGCGCCCATGGCCCCTCGCCCTGCCCACGCCGCCCCTCCCCCCTGCCGTGCATGCCGGGCACTGGCGGCGTCAAACGCCCCCCCCCAGCAGCTTCTCCCGCACGCACTCGCCCGCCTGCCGCTGCGCCCAGTACGGACACTTGCCCTGCCCCACGCAGTGCCGGAACATGTCGTCCCGCCTCAGGTGCAGCGATGCAAACGCCCCTCCACTCACCTCGCGCACGAACCCCTCGGCTGCCTGCACCACCGCATCACACGGCCACACCAGCGCCCGGCACCGCTGCTCCATGCCTATCCCTGCTGCCCCCAACTGCGGCCCCCCTCCGCCTGCCAGCCCCCCGCCTGCATCGCGCGCGCCCGCGACAGCAGGGGGGTGTGCAAGGGAGGGCATGGCCCAGGCAGTGGCGAGGCTGGAGGCGAAGCCGGGCGGCGGGTCGAGGAAGCGCGCGTGCGACTCGTACAGATCGCCCACGCACAGCACGCGCCCGCCCGCGCCGCCGTACGCGTCCGTGAAGGTGCGGCGCGTCACGTTCGCCTCCAGCCCCGCCTGGCGCCGCGACGTGAAGCGGATGGCGGGGTGGGACGGGCGGCCGCGCTGGAAGGCGCAGCGGTCCGCCCAGCAGACGAAGCGGTCGACGTCGAGGAGCGTGGCGTTGGCGGCGCGCAGGTAGTCGCGCAGCGAGACGGCGACGCGGCGGCCGAGGCAGGCGTTGAGGTGCGACGCGTTGAAGACGACATCTAGGCTGAGCGGCGCGTCGAGTGGCGAGTTCCAGCGACGCGCGGGGCGGTAGAGGTCCTCTGAGGGCACGATGAGCGTGCGGCGCAGCAGCGTGGCGGCCAGGATGTAGTTGCGCAGACACAGCAGGCGGTTCGTCATCCGCCCGTACACACACGCCGCTAGCAGGTACGAGTCCGCCTGCGGCCGCCACTCCAGCTTCTCCGCCTCCGCCACCACCTGCTCGCGCGGCACTGACTCCCCGCTGCTGCAACCCTTATGCCGCGTCCCCACGAACTCCCCTCCCCCCACCTCCGCCTTCCCCTGTTCTCCACTCCCTACGATTGGCCCCCCTCCCCCTGTTTTCCCGCCGCGCTGCCCCGTGAGTCGCGTCAGCTGCCGCCAGTACCGCCGCAGCAGCGCCTGCTGCCGCGCCAACACCGCCTCTTGCGCCGCCACCACCGCTTCCGCCCGCCCCTCCTCGCGCGCCCGCCTCAGCTCCGCCAACGCTGCGGCGAGCAGCGCCTCGTGCGGGGCGTCATCCGCGGCGCTCGATTGCGGCGCAAAGAGGAACCCGCCCCGGTGGGGGCCGCGGACGAGCAGCAGCAGCGCGCCGATCACTGCGGCGAGCAGGAGGACAAGCGCGGGGCGCGCGCAGCCCAGGGACTGCGCGAGGCGCGCGGTCGTGGACTTATCGACCGCGAACGACGCGAAAGTTTGTCGGCCGGACGATCGACGACTGCTGAGCGACGGAGATGGCGATTGCGCGACGGCAGGAAGAAAGGGGGTCTGACGAGTGGCCATCCAGGGCGATGGGAGAGCGGGGCGAGATGTGGCGATGGAGGCGATGCGACGAGACAGTAGCGCCTTTCCGCTCCACAGACCACACAGCCACCAGTCACACTGTGGAGTGCGGGGTGCAATCTGTGTTCTTGTTTGTAATTCACGCACTGTACAACTACGGCCCCCCCCCCAACTTGTTCTCGAATTTTACCATAACGGATTATGTGTTCACGTGAATCGCCATTTTTCTGGCCCCATTCCGCACTCCCTCACAACACACAGTTTCAGGGCGTGCTTTCTCTACAACAGCACAGAAAGGAACCCCTTTTCCGTCAATTAGTCAAATTACCGCCCGTCGTGCGACATTCCTTCGCCGCTGTTCGTCCATCGCAGTGCCATGCGTCGCGAGCGTCGCATCGAGCCGACGTCGTTCGACGCGATCGTCGTCGGCACGGGCCTGCCCGAGTCGCTGCTGGCGGCGGCGCTGTCTCTGGCGGGGCGGCGCGTGCTGCACGTGGACTGCGCCGCCTACTACGGGTCGCACTGGGCGTCGCTGCCGCTCGACCAGCTCGCGCAGTGGGCGGCGAGCGGCGGGCGCATTCCGCCTCCGGGGGAGAACGAGGACACGCAGACCAACGGGTTTGCGGAAGACGACGACGAGCGCGGGGAGGATGCGCGGAGAGCCCCTGGGGAAAGCGCGGAGGGGGAAAGGGAAGTGCTGAGCGGCGACGAGGGGGCGGGACGGGGAGACGGGGAGGGGGGTGCCGAGGGGAGGCAGGATGGGGATAGCGAAGGCGTGGGCGCAACTGAAGATGGCGCGCGCACGACTGGGGACTCAGGCGCGGGCGAGGCGGGGGGGGCAGATGCAGTTGCGGCCGCAGGCACAGACGCAGGGGCAGGGGCAGGGGCGGGCGAGGTGTCACTGGAGGAGCGGGTGCGGGCGGGGGAGGTGAGGGCGGTGGCGCTGGGGTCGTCGGAGGACGGCGCGCTCTACTCGCGCGTGTCCACCGCCACGTGGCTGCCACGCGCCTCCCACGAGCCCTTCCACCCGGCGCGCCTGCCAGCGGAGCTGGGCGAGGCGCGGCGCTACGCGGTGGATCTGGCGGGGCCACGCGTGGTGATGTGCGGCGAGGACGCGGTGCGCGTGCTGGTGCGCAGCGGCGCGCACCACTACGTGGAGTTCAAGGCCGTGCAGGCCCTGCTCTGCTGGCAGCGGGGGGGGGAGGGCAAGGCGCGGGGGGAGAGTGGCGCGCAGGGGCACGGTGGTGGGGGGGAAGGGGGGCTGGTGCGGGTGCCGACGAGTCGGGGGGACGTGTTTCAGGACCGGCAGCTGCCCCTGGCGGACAAGCGCCGCCTCATGCGCTTCTTCCACTCCGCCTCCCCCCTCTCCGCCGCCCCTGGCCCCCCTGCCCCCGCTACTGCCACTGCTGGTGGCGGCGGTGAGGCGAGGGAAGGCGGGAACGATGCAAGTGGGCAGGTGGGAGCGGGGGGGAAGGAGGAAGGGAAGGCGGCGAGCGGCAGCGAGGGGGAGGGGGAGGGGGAGGGGGAGGGGACGTTTACGGCGCTGCTGGAGGCACACGGGCTGCCAGCACGCGTGCAAGAGTGAGATGCAGCACCACCACATGCATGCAGCACCACCACATGCATGCAGCACCACCACATGCATGCAGCACCACCACATGCATGCAGCACCACCACATGCATGCAGCACCACCACATGCATGCAGCACCACCACATGCATGCAGCACCACCGCATGCATGCAGCACCACCACATGCATGCAGCACCACCGCATGCATGCAGCACCACCACATGCATGCAGCACCACCGCATGCATGCAGCACCACCGCATGCATGCAGCACCACCGCATGCATGCAGCACCACCGCATGCATGCAGCACCACCGCATGCATGCAGCACCACCGCATGCATGCAGCACCACCGCATGCATGCAGCACCACCGCATGCATGCAGCACCACCGCATGCATGCAGCCCATGGCCCCGTGCCCGTGGTCCACACTGCTTGCCCTCACGCCTGCTCACCCTTGCTCCTGCTCTCACCCACCCACGCCACGCCACCTGCTTGCTCTGGTGGTGTCTCCTCCATCCCCCACCGCCCTCTCAACCCGACCCGCCATGCTTCTATCCCCCCCCTCGCCCCCATTACGCATCCACCACTCATGCGTCCAACCTCTCTCACCCCCCACTTCCCCCCTCCAACCTCAACCGGCCCGCCGCCCCCCCTGTGCCCTGCCCAGCTTCATTCTGTACGCCATCGCCCTGCTGCCATGCAACCAGCACCCCACACCCCCTGCCGCTGCTGCCACCGCTGCCAACAGTGCCAGCGGTGGCAGCAGCAGCAGCAGCAGCAGCGGAGGTGGTGGAGGAGGGGGAGGAGGGGAGGGGATGCAGGGGGGTGTGGTGACAGCGGCGGAGGGGCTGGCTCGCATGGCGCTCTTCCTAAACTCCGTCGGCCGGTGGGTGCTGTCTGGGTGCTGGCTGCTGTGTGCTGGGTGGGCACTGTGTGCATTGTGCTGGCACGGCACAGGGGTGGGTGTGAGATGGTGGTTGCCCACATATGCTGGCCCTCAGGGCAGGGCAGCTCACCACCGCATTCGCCACGCCCTTTCATGGGCCAGCTCCTTCCATCTGCAGCTTTTATTAATGGGTGCGCAGCTCTGCTCCCTTGCGCATGTGTGCGTGGGCATGGGCATGGGCATGGCATGGGCATGGGCATGGGCATGGGCATGGGCATGGGCATGGGCATGGCATGGGATGGCATGGCATGGGCATGGGCATGGCATGGGCATGGGCATGGCATGGCATGGGCATGGCATGGGCATGGGCATGGGCATGGCATGGCATGGCATGGCATGGCATGGCAGGTACGGCACGGAGGCGGGCATGATGGTGGCGCTGTACGGCATGGGCGAGCTCGCCCAGGCCTTCTGCCGCCTCGCTGCCGTCAAGAGCGCCCTCTATGTCAGTGCTCGCGCCCTCGTGCCACAGGCACTCCCCATGCCGCCTGTTCCCCCTTGCCTCATGCCCCCACTGTGCCTCATACCCCCACCCTGCCTCATGCGCCCACTGCTGCTCTTCATCATGTTGCATGCTGCTCCTGAGTCTCCTCGCTGCTCTGTTTGCTGCCAGCATTTCTGCTTCTGGTTGCTCCACTCATCCCTCGTCACCCCGCCTCTCCTGTCATTTTGCTAAACTCTACCCTTCTCTGTGCCACATGCTGTATACTGCCTGCTGTGTGCTGTGTGCTGCCTGCTGCGTGCTGTGTGCTGTGTGCTGTTTGCTGTGTGCTGCGTGCTGCTACTGCAGGTGCTGCGTCGGCCCGTGGCGTCTCTTCTTGTGAATGCAGTGCGTGCCAACCCACCCTCACTTTTCTCTGCGCGTGCCACCCTCCACCTGTACCCGCACCCGCATCTGCACCCACACCTGCACCTGCACCCGCACCTCCACCTGCACCCACACCTGCACCTGCACCTGCACCTGCACCTGCACCCGCACCTGCACCCACACCTGCACCTGCACCCGCACCTCCACCTGCACCCACACCTGCACCTGCACCTGCACCTGCACCTGCACCTGCACCTGCACCAAGGGCTGGGCCCGCAAGGAGCAGCAATGAATGACATCCATGCTCCATGCGTATCACACGTCTCTGAATCACGTGTCACACTCACCTGGAGCCGCATCCCTCACCATCCACCATAATATCCCCTGCCGCCTTTGCCCCATGTACCAATCCCCTCCCGCGGCGCATCCCCTCTTCCCCCCTTTCCCTCCTCCCCCAGCACATGGGGCGGTGTGAGGGAGTGGCATTGGAGGACGGGCAGCTGCTGGGCGCGCCCCTCGTGCTCCTCGGCCCCTCCTTCCTCCCCAAGCCGCTGCCCCCCACACCACCCAGAGCACCACCCGCAGAAGAGCCTGCAGTGGTGAGCGGCAGAGCTGAAGCACGTGGGAGCGCAGCAGGTGGCAGTGATGCGTGTGTGGGTGGGGAGGGGACGAGCCCAGGCGTGACGGGGCCTCAGTCTCACGGTGGCGGTGGCGGCGCTGGTGGTGCTTTGGACAGCGCTGGTGGTGCTTTGGACAGCGCTGGTGGTGCTTTGGACAACGCTGGTGGTGCTTTGGACAGCGCTGGTGGTGCTTTGGACAACGCTGGTGGTGCTTTGGACAACGCTGGTGGTGCTTTGGACAGCGCTGGTGGTGCTTTGGACAGCGCTGGTGGTGCTTTGGACAGCGCTGGTGGTGTTTTGGACAGCGCTGGTGGTGCTTTGGACAGCGCAGGTGGTGCTTTGGACAGCGCTGGTGGTGCTTTGGACAGCGCTGGTGGTGCTTTGGACAGCGCAGGTGGTGCTTTGGACAGCGCTGGCAAGACAAGTGCCGGAGGGGAGAGGGGGGAAGGGGAGGAGGAGCAGGAGGAGGGGGTGGTGGCGCGCTGCATTTGCATCACCGATGGTTCCCTGCATCAAGACATGCACACTCTCGTTGCTGTGCTGCCGCCCACCTGTGAGTGCTGCCGCCCACATGTGAGTGTTGCCGCCCAGGTGCGAGTGTAGCTGCTGAGAGGTGTAGGCAAGACTACGCTTCTCTGGCTCCCAGCTCGTCCCATTCTCTTTCCCATGCAATGTGCCTCTCACCTTTCAACCACCTAACCCATCCCTCTCGCCCACATCTCGCCCTGTACTTCCCTCCCTCTCTCCCTCCGCCAGCACTCGCACCAGGGCTTCCGGAGCAGCCAGTGAGAGTGTGCCAGCTGTCATCGCAATGTGCTGTGTGCCCCCAAGGGAAGTGAGTGCTCCTATTCCTTGCTCACACTCCCTTCCTGCTTCCCACGCACTGCGCTGCACACACACACACTCCCCTCGAATGGTTCCCTATTGGAATAAGCACTGGGATACAACGATAGGGAAGACTGGTGGGTACAGCAAAACACGGATGGCACTACCTACTATACTAGTCTACAGCATGGCACTACCTACTATACTAGTCTACAGCATGGCACTACCTACTATACTAGTCTACAGCATGGCACTACCTACTATACTAGTCTACAGCATGGCACTACCTACTATACTAGTCTACAGCATGGCACTACATACTATACTAGTCTACAGCATGGCACTCCCTACTATACTAGTCTACAGCATGGCACTCCCTACTATACTAGTCTACAGCATGGCACTCCCTACTATACTAGTCTACAGCATGGCACTACCTACTATACTAGTCTACAGCATGGCACTACCTACTATACTAGTCTACAGCATGGCACTACCTACTATACCAGTCTACAGCATGGCACTACCTACTATACTAGTCTACAGCATGGCACTCCCTACTATACTAGTCTACAGCATGCCACTACCTACTATACTAGTCTACAGCATGGCACTACCTACTATACCAGTCTACAGCATGGCACTACCTACTATACTAGTCTGCAGCATGGCACTCCCTACTATACTAGTCTACAGCATGGCACTACCTACTATACTAGTCTACAGCATGGCACTACCTACTATACTAGTCTACAGCATGGCACTCCCTACTATACTAGTCTGCAGCATGGCACTCCCTACTATACTAGTCTACAGCATCGCACTACCTACTATACTAGTCTACAGCATGGCACTCCCTACTATACTACTAGTCTACACCATGGCACTACCTACTATACTAGTCTACAGCATGGCACTACCTACTATACTAGTCTACAGCATGGCACTACCTACTATACCAGTCTACAGCATGGCATTCCCTACTATACTAGTCTACAGCATGGCACTCCCTACTATACTAGTCTACAGCATGGCACTACCTACTATACTAGTCTACAGCATGGCACTACCTACTATACTAGTCTACAGCATGGCACTCCCTACTATACTAGTCTACAGCATGGCACTCCCTACTATACTAGTCTACAGCATGGCACTACCTACTATACTAGTCTACAGCATGGCACTACCTACTATACTAGTCTACAGCATGGCACTCCCTACTATACTAGTCTACAGCATGGCACTCCCTACTATACTAGTCTACAGCATGGCACTACCTACTATACTAGTCTACAGCATCGCACTACCTACTATACTAGTCTACAGCATGGCACTCCCTACTATACTAGTCTACAGCATGGCACTACCTACTATACTAGTCTACAGCATGGCACTCCCTACTATACTAGTCTACAGCATGGCACTCCCTACTATACTAGTCTACAGCATGGCACTCCCTACTATACTAGTCTACAGCATGGCACTACCTACTATACTAGTCTACAGCATGGCACTCCCTACTATACTAGTCTACAGCATGGCACTACCTACTATACTAGTCTACAGCATGGCACTCCCTACTATACTAGTCTACAGCATTGCACTACCTACTATACTAGTCTACAGCATGGCACTCCCTACTATACTAGTCTACAGCATGGCACTCCCTACTATTCTAGTCTACAGCATGGCACTACCTACTATACTAGTCTACAGCATGGCACTCCCTACTATACTAGTCTACAGCATGGCACTACCTACTATACTAGTCTATAGCATGGCACTACCTACTATACTAGTCTACAGCATGGCACTACCTACTATACCAGTCTACAGCATGGCACTACCTACTATACTAGTCTACAGCATGGCACTCCCTACTATACTAGTCTACAGCATGGCACTACCTACTATACTAGTCTACAGCATGGCACTACCTACTATACTAGTCTACAGCATGGCACTCCCTACTATACTAGTCTACAGCATGGCACTCCCTACTATACTAGTCTACAGCATGGCACTACCTACTATACTAGTCTACAGCATGGCACTACCTACTATACTAGTCTACAGCATGGCACTCCCTACTATACTAGTCTACACCATGGCACTACCTACTATACTAGTCTACAGCATGGCACTACCTACTATACTAGTCTACAGCATGGCACTACTTACTATACCAGTCTACAGCATGGCACTCCCTACTATACTAGTCTACAGCATGGCACTCCCTACTATACTAGTCTACAGCATGGCACTCCCTACTATACTAGTCTACAGCATGGCACTACCTACTATACTAGTCTACAGCATGGCACTACCTACTATACTAGTCTACAGCATGGCACTACCTACTATACCAGTCTACAGCATGGCACTACCTACTATACTAGTCTACAGCATGGCACTACCTACTATACTAGTCTACAGCATGGCACTACCTACTATACTAGTCTACAGCATGGCACTACCTACTATACTAGTCTACAGCATGGCACTCCCTACTATACTAGTCTACAGCATGGCACTCCCTACTATACTAGTCTACAGCATGGCACTACCTACTATACTAGTCTACAGCATGGCACTACCTACTATACTAGTCTACAGCATGGCACTCCCTACTATACTAGTCTACACCATGGCACTACCTACTATACTAGTCTACAGCATGGCACTACCTACTATACTAGTCTACAGCATGGCACTACCTACTATACTAGTCTACAGCATGGCACTCCCTACTATACTAGTCTACACCATGGCACTACCTACTATACTAGTCTACAGCATGGCACTACCTACTATACTAGTCTACAGCATGGCACTACTTACTATACCAGTCTACAGCATGGCACTCCCTACTATACTAGTCTACAGCATGGCACTCCCTACTATACTAGTCTACAGCATGGCACTCCCTACTATACTAGTCTACAGCATGGCACTACCTACTATACTAGTCTACAGCATGGCACTACCTATTATACTAGTCTACAGCATGGCACTCCCTACTATACTAGTCTACAGCATGGCACTACCTACTATACTAGTCTACAGCATGGCACTACATACTATACTAGTCTACAGCATGGCACTCCCTACTATACTAGTCTACAGCATGGCACTCCCTACTATACTAGTCTACAGCATGGCACTCCCTACTATACTAGTCTACAGCATGGCACTACCTACTATACTAGTCTACAGCATGGCACTACCTACTATACTAGTCTACAGCATGGCACTACCTACTATACCAGTCTACAGCATGGCACTACCTACTATACTAGTCTACAGCATGGCACTCCCTACTATACTAGTCTACAGCATGCCACTACCTACTATACTAGTCTACAGCATGGCACTACCTACTATACCAGTCTACAGCATGGCACTACCTACTATACTAGTCTGCAGCATGGCACTACCTACTATACTAGTCTACAGCATGGCACTACCTACTATACTAGTCTACAGCATGGCACTACTTACTATACCAGTCTACAGCATGGCACTCCCTACTATACTAGTCTACAGCATGGCACTCCCTACTATACTAGTCTACAGCATGGCACTCCCTACTATACTAGTCTACAGCATGGCACTACCTACTATACTAGTCTACAGCATGGCACTACCTATTATACTAGTCTACAGCATGGCACTCCCTACTATACTAGTCTACAGCATGGCACTCCCTACTATACTAGTCTACAGCATGGCACTACCTACTAGACTAGTCTACAGCATGGCACCACCTACTATACTAGTCTACAGCATGGCACTCTCCCCCCTCTTGTGCGGGTTCCCTTCATTCTCCACTGCCGTCTCCCATCACCAACACATACCACCTCTCCCCTCCCTGCAGGTACTTGCTGTATCTCTCCACCCGCTGCCTCCCCTCCCACTGCCCTCGCGCCCTGCTGCTGCCCGTGCTTGCTGCCCTCACTGCATTGCCACACCCGTCCCCCGCCACTCATTCTGCTGCTGCTGTTGCTGGAGGTGTGAGAGAGGGGGGTGGCAGGAGCAAGGAATCAGAGGGAGTGGGTGCGCAGGGGAATGGAGGCAGAAGGGTGGCTGGGGAGGGGGGAGGAGAGGGAGATGAAGGAGGGGAGGAAACGGCGTCATCCAGCGGTATGGTATCAGAGCAGGTGGGGTCAGAGGCGGGGGCGGGCGAGGAGCATGGAGACGAGGCAGCGGGGAAGGGGAGGCCCACTGCGCTGTGGGCTGTGTTCTTCTCGCAGCGCCTGCTGGATGCCCGCAGTGTGCAGGTATGGGCCATGGGATGCCCGCAGTGTGCAGGTATGGGCCATGGTATGCCCGCAGTGTGCAGGTACGGGCCATGGGATGCCCGCAGTGTGCAGGTATGGGCCATGAGACGCTCATGCTGTACCATGTGCGATGCACCGTGCACCGTGCTTTGTGCACTATTCATGCTCCAGGCAGATTCCCGACGCAGGATTCCCAGCGCAGGATTCCCAACGCAGGATTCTTGACGCAGGATTCCCGATGCTCTCCCCCCCACGGCAGGTGCCGGAGGGCGTGTTTGCATGCAGCGCTCCGAGCGACTCCCTGCACCTGCAGTCAGTGCTCGAGGAGGCCCAGCAGGTGAGCCCATGCACCCATGCTGCTGCTGCTTGCGATGAAACTGTAATGCTCGAGATGTTACTGTAATGGCTGGGATGTTATTGTAAGGCTGGGATGACACTGGTGGTTGAGATGACATTGTGATGATGGAGAGATGGCAGTGATGATGGAGAGATGGTAGTGATGATGGAGAGATGGTAGTGATGATGGAGAGATGGTAGTGATGAGAGATGGCACTATTCTGGATGAGGGTGATGGATGATGATGTGGCAGACAGGGTTCTTCTCGTCCACGCAAATTCTGAAATCTCTTCTTGCCTGTACTGTTTTCGCCTGCCTTTGGCTTGCGATGTGGGCAGGTCTTCATGCGCATTGCCCCCGGGGAGGAGTTCTTCCCCACCCGCCTGGATGAGGAGGAGAGGGATGATGAGGCACACGGGTTTGACAATGGTAACTCGGAGGAGCATGCCAATGGGGACGGGGATGGGCATGGGCATGAGGATGGGGATGAGCATGGAGATGAGAGGAGGGACCAGAGCAACGGAGGGAGGTGATGCACGTTGCAGAGTCAATATATGTTACACAAGGGAGAGTCGTCTGATCGCGACAAACAAGCCGCTTGCATATTCCCATGCTCTGGAGGCATTGTTGTGTTGTGCTTCTTCAAATGCGAGACATTTGTTGTTACCATTTTTGAAAGTATCTAGTGGAAGAAGGTGAAGGGCACACATCCTTAGGATGACTAGCGCAACTACATACCATAAAATTCTTACACTCCTAAACATGACTTGGCCAGGGATCGGCTCAGGGTTGATCGCTGGTACCGTAATACCCCGGATAGAAGCGCATCTGCGCTTATAATAAAACAGTGTTTTTTAGGGGGGTGCGCTAATAAATGAGTCAAAATTATAAGCGCATGCGCTTATATAATAACAATCACAGAAATATGTTATAAACGCACCAAACTGTGCATTAGAGTCTTGCAATTTCATTCAAATCGAAATGTGTGGAGCGTTCTGAATCAAAATCGCGCGAGGGCGATTCTCTGCCAGCGCACAAGGGCAAGGACACGTCACTTTCGCATAGGAATGTGTCATGCTCGCCCCAGCAGAGTGTACGAACCAATAGCTTGCAGTTGCTTGTTCGCATCGCACAGGCTTGCCCCAGTGTACGACCAATAGCCTGCAGTCGCTCTCTCGCAGTGCACAGGCAACAGGTGTTCCCGAGCCCCCCTGTCAGGTCAACTTCGCGCTGTTGCGCTTTTCCTGAGCGAGCCCGCCCTCGAGGGAGTCAAACAGAGTAGAAGTGGATGTGGACTCGCTTTAAAACGGGAAGTCGTTACTGTTTTAATCCGTTTTTTTTGAAAAATGTTTATACATGCGCTTATAATAAATCAGGGTTTTATAAGGGGTGCGCTTATAATTGAGGATCGGCCATAAGCGCATTGCTCCAGATACAAGCGCATGCGCTTAACATAGGCCTGCGCTTCTATCCGGGGCCATACGGTAGTATTGCAGCTGAAGTGTTGAGCTCAGGTATCGCATGAGTGAATGTAAAATGACAGAGATGAGAATACCACCGTATGGCCCCAGACACCAGGCCCTCAGAAGTCAGCGAAAAAAGGCTGATTAGGGGTAAAAAGGCTGTGATTTCAGTGGTGGGGGAATATTGAGGCTGTTGTGTCAGTTTTTTTTTGAAAGTGTTTGCTCAAAGTTCAGTTTTTTTTAATCGGTTTTTGCTGAAATATCAGACTTTTTCCAGTAGGGTACGCTGTATCGTCAGAGTTGTAAGAAAGGGTTGGGCTGAAATCCCTGTAGTGGAGATTCGCGTAAGAGCCCTGAATTCCAGACGTCTAGGTACACTGCTTCGACCCCGCCTCCGTCAATCACGCCGAAATGGCAAGATTCCTTGCCAACGCATTCGGGAATGGCATCATTCCCGAATGTTCACTTCACTCCTGTCTTATCGCGAAGGTATCTTCGCTCCTGATTGGTTGTTAGGGCAACCACATCACTCTCTGGCGAATGGAAAGTCAACAGCGCTGCACAACGCACGCACGATGCTGCAGCACAACACCACAAAATGGTTGCCGCGCGATTAGGAAACCCCCCCACCCCACCCACCCCGAAGCTGCAACCAGGTACGTGCATGGGGCGCGTCGCCTTGTATCGTGGCACGGTTAGCTTAGCTTGCCAACCAAGCCCGCTTCATCAGCTCGTTCTTGCATATCCCCAGGCAGTTGCTGGACTCCCCCACCCCACACCCTAGCCTGCTAGGGTTTCATTTCTGTTCCTTCGCCCCTAGCACCAAACAATTTTCTGCACGCTCTCTCAGTGCTCGGCACGCTCTCTCTGTGCTCGGCTCGCTTTCGTCTCTGTTCCGCCATGGCTGGCCATGGCGCCGGCCTTTCACACGACGAGGGTGACGCCGATGTAGACGACGCAGATAGCATCGCCATAGAAGAAGCCCGTACTGGGCTAGATCTTCTGCTAAGATCTTTAGGCCGCCAACTACCACCTCCAGCGCCCACTGCACCTGGTCCGGTTCCTACAGTGGCGGGTAACCCGAACGTGCCTTCCAACCCGGATTCCATCCGGTCCGTCCCTCCCGCGCCGCCCGGTGTTTCCGACACCATTCACGTCGGCACATCGGTGTCGAAGTCATCAGCACCGCGCACAATCAAGCTTAAGCAACAGAAACTGAGCTTCTGGAAGCCATCATCCAACGTCCCCGTATCTGAAGCTGTAGTCAACGAAGCCACCGTGCGCCCGTCTCTGGACATCAACGTTCAGGAGATTGTTGATGCGATTTATGCCGAGGCACTGGATAAGTACAAAAGTAAGTGGATTGAGCATTTCCCATGGCTTGTACTTACCAAAACTGTTCGTGGTCTGCCTGCTTTCAAATGCAGTCTCTGCACGAAGCACGCCGGTTTCAGGGGACGTTGCGGCAGGACAGGCAAAGGTGCTACCGACGTCCAAACGCAGGCCTTTCGCAAGCACGCCGGGACGAGGAAACACAAGCTGGCACTGGAGAAGCAAGAGGCCCTGCTTGCTGCCGTGTCTAAACAGCCCCGCATCGACGATCATCGTGCAGCGGTCGATGTAGAGAAGATCCGGGTCACGTCACTACTTGAGGCGCTTCTGTTCATCAGCGACTGCGACGCACCCATGGGGACATGGGTGAAGCTGGTGCAGTATCTTGCCCGGAAAGGCGTTCAAGGTTTCCCTAAGAAAGGCTATGGGACTTATTATACCACGTGAGTGGTTATAACCTTTGCTGTTTACGTTGTTTTACAGACGCGGAGTCGCCAATGTTGTATGCCTTGTATTCTGGCAGGTACGGCTTCGGCGAACTGACGCAGTCTCTGGCAACCTGGCTACAGACGACCCAGATGGAGCATATCCTCACAAGCCCCTTCATCGGCCTCGCCATCGACGAAAGCACAGACCACGTCCGGGGGAAACACCTTATTATTTACGCCACCTTCGTTCGGAATTCTGTCGTGGTGTCAGAGTTCATGCAGTTGATCACCGTTGAGAAAGCTGAGGCCTCGACCCTCTTGAGCCTTCTGTTGTCTCACTTGCAGGCCGTGGGTGTTGAGCTGCAGAGGATTTCGGGCATCAACACCGACGGTGCGTCGGTGATGATGGGCAGTAATGCCGGACTGGTGGTTTGCGTGCGACACCGGATTCCCCACCTCGTCTCGTGTCACTGCATCGCCCACAGGTTAGTGCCGCTTTGCATTTACCGCGCTCATTGGATTTTTTCTGCTCGGTGTACTGATTCTTTTTATTTCGTTTAATGCAAGGAAGCCCTCGCCGCTAAGGATGCGGCGGAAGATCTACCAGTCTTCAACATGGTAGACGATCTAATCCGTGTGGTGTCGGATCTGCTAGGCCGTTCGGGCCCGAAACACCAGCGCTTCATGGACCACCAGGAGCTCTTCACCGAGACGAGCCTGTGTGAAGAATAAAACGAGAGAATGAATGAAATATGGAAGAGTTGGGTACAAGTACTAACCCTAATTGGGTTGTACCCCTTATGGGCTACCCCACTACAGCCTACAGAAATGTATAAGCTATAACGTTCTCACACACCCCCATAGGCAAAGTGGGGGAGAACAAGTGGTCACAAGACCAGTCAAGCAAAGCAAAGCAAGCTCGGGGTGGATCACAAAGTCACCACACAGTCCGAGCACAAGAGCAAGGCTACAAGGCCAGTTCACATGCAAGATCATATATATAAAGGTAAACAAGCAAGTGCAGGTATAGAAAGAGTACAGTACAAACAAGATCTAGAAGTGAGCAAGTTAGGCCATGTAGGCACAAGACCTAGCAAAGTACAGAATCGCTGATGATCACAAGGCGGAAGGGCCTTGGTGAAGATATCAGCAATGTTGGCCTCAGAGGCCACGTAGGTGAGACGGAGCTGACCACGCTGCTACAGCTCATGAGCCAGGAAATAGCGGAGAGCAATGTGCTTCGTTCTATGCTCCAGTCTGTGCTCCCGACACAAGGCCAGCATGGCCTTGTTGTCTACGTACAGAACTGGAGGAGAACGAGGCGGCTCTCCTAGGTCACTCAGCAGGTAGGTGAGCCAGCGTAGCTCTTGTGCAGCCATGGCCCCTGCGTAGATCTCAGCCTCACAGCTGGAGCTGAGAACAGAAAACGAGCGGGTAGACTGCCACGAAACAGAGCCGGAGCCAAGGCTGAAGGTGTAACCCTGTGACGACCTGCAGAGCCTGGTCGTCAGCCCAAAAAGCGTCACCGTGACCTGTGAGGACCACTCGACGTCGCCCTCCAAGCACTAGCCCCATGCCCCACGTACTGCACACGTAGCGCAACACCCTCTTCGCTGCAGCCATGTGCTCTGGTCGGTGTCTCCCAGGAGCAACATAGCGTGCCAAGATGCTAAAAGGGTATGCAAGGTCAGGTCGTGTGCAGGTCATCAGGTACATGAGGCAGCCAACAAGCTCTGGGTACGGGCCACTCGACTCTACGGACTCATCCGAAGGCAGAGCTGAGAGCGAGTGGCGAGTAGACAGAGGAGTGGCCTTAGGCGAGGAGTACGTGAAGCCGAAGCGCTGAAGGACCTGCTGCACCATGTGTGACTGAGTCAGGGTAATGGTGCGCTGTGCTCTGTCCTGGGTGATCTGCAAGCCAAGGTAGCTTCGCAGTTCACCCAGGTCTGTGCAAGTGTGTCTCTTCTGCAGCTCGGACTTCACGTGGGCGAGTCAAGCACTGTCAGCAGTGGCAAAGACCAAGTCGTCGACGTACACGAGGATGTAGAACGGCGACAGAGAGGTGTCGGTGCGCAGAAACAGCGACGGGTCGGCTGTAGAAGGAGCAAACCCAAGAGTCGCAAGTGTAGTCCTCAGTGTATCGTGCCACTCACGGGGCGCCTGGCGGAGACCGTAGACTGGCCGCCGAAGGCTCCACTGGGTACCAGGAGGAAACGACCCAGTGAAGCCAGGAGGGCGGCGCAGCCAGATCTCCTCGTGCAGGCAGCCCTGCAAGAAAGCTGTGCTGAAGTCAAGAGAGTGAAGCTCGTA